CTATTAGTGAGCGGTGGGAGCTAATAAGCGAGCGATGGGAGCTAATAAGCGGCGAAGGAAATGATACCCGCGATAGGATCTTGATAGCAAGCCCATGCTTAGTTTATTAGTCACCGTCTTCTCTCTCTCTCTCTCTGTGACAAGAGGCAAATAACGGTCAGCGATCTCCGCGGCATAATTAGTGTCCGCGATCAGCCACGCCGAATACTCTTCGTTCGGCAGACTCGATACATGAAGCTCCATCGGTGTAGATCAGCTTCCAAAACGAGAGGCAGCCAATGCGAATGCCCGACGTTTATTTATCATTTGAAAAGGTCATGCCTTTAAGATACGAAATGACAACATATACAGCGGATTGCCAGTAAATGCAAGACAGATTTTTCCGCTTATTTTTCCCATTTGGGTTCCATTTCCAAGGAATTAATATAGTGATGTGCCAGCATTTGTGTTTCATAGAGATGCCCATACGTCCGACTCCTCAAGTTGTGCATTTAAACAACCCTGCTAAGGAAAATATCAACTACCCCCTTATCGCCTATGCTTATTTAGTAATAGAGCATTGTTGCCCTTTTTAACTTCCTTCGGAGTTAATGGACAAATTCGGAGTAAATCCCTCGGAAGAAAACTTGTTAGGCTCCTCTCGAATGCTGATGCGACTATTTGAGCTGAATTTCATCGGTCGCTGTGGAATAAGCACATACTATTCACAAACGGCCAGAGAGTAGTCAGTAGTATGCACATATTAATTAATTTACCACACTGAAAGTATTGGTGCTATCCAAAAGGTTAGCCACGTGTGGTTTGACGATCTCATACTGATGTATGGCACACCTGTGAGGGTTCGGTTCATCCATCCGCCAGCGTTCCCCCTATGCTTTCTGGCATAGAAATTCCAGTATGCACACTTCTAAATTCACGTAGTCCTGTTTGTCTCAAATTTGAAATCATATTGATTGTTTTATATTACATGCCTATTTTCGACCTTCATGATGGACTTTGGCGCTCGCCATGCCTCCATCCTAAAACAATGTAATCGATCACAAACTCCTCTAACCTGTACATTCTTCGAGCAGATGAATGCTCAATCCACTGTCAGAAACAGTCGTTGTAAGCTGGAAGTTTACTGTACATGGGGTCGAGTATAAAAAAACCTTTCAGTTACTCCACCACTGCTTGGACAATTAACTCTCAGTATTTCACTCCGAGATGTGACTGGGCTTTATTTATGTAGCAATTTACCATGCTGGTAACCCAGGTACTAGGTAAATCAGATAAATCACGTGCTAAATCAAAGGAGGTGCACAACACCTGAAACTTCCGCCGCTATCTGTAACTGTGACCTCGTTCTCGGATAGCGTGCAACTCACAAACAGGTGACTAGAAACTAACAAAACTTCTGTAAATACCAGATAGTGGTCTGACCACATGAAAGCAGACTGAGATTCCCGATTGTACATCGCGCACGTGTTGTAAAGAAAAGAGATGAATAGAAATTGGCTAATTTTTCGACAGAATGAATTGCAAACCATGCCACTTATCCGCCGTCACTTACGATATGGGGACTATTCTGCGCCCGAATAAGTGTTATTAGCCAAACGTATAGGGTGCTAAAGCGAGGTTCAGACGCCTACCCTACAACAATCTGGACAAACCTCCATATAAAACAAGCTGGTCTGTTCACTTATTCATACAAGGTGGTGGATTATTGCATT